AGGGTGTTAAGGAGGTGGTCACCGGCGTTCATACCGCCGGCTTTTAGGGTGAGAGTGCATGGGGGCGGCTAGGGTTTGGAACGGGAAGGGGTTGTGTTTGGGACGATGGTGTACAGTGGGGAAGGTGGGGTTTGGTTTGGGGGGCGTGGGGTGTGATGGAGAGTTTATATATGTATTGAGGGTTTAGATCCTAGCCGTTAGATCAAGTGAGATCTATGGCCAGGATCTATTCACTTAGGAAAGACGGTGTCGTTTGGGTGCGATGGTGGGTGAGACCGGGTAAGGGGCATGGACCGGGTCATGTTAACGGGTTTAGATGAGGGCCTGGATTTGTTGGATCAATGGGGTTGGACGGCTTAGATCATCTTGCCTGAAACGGCGTCGTTTGGGTAAATGAGCAGTCTGATCAAGACCGTCCGTTTGAATTAGATCAACGGTTCCAATAGGGATACTGATACAACGTCGTTTGGGGTCCGTGCTTGGGCAGGCCTGGCTTGGACTGGGTCTTGCATTGGCTTTGGGCCTCATTTGGGGCCCAATCCGATTTCTTCACTTCTTTTTTCTTTTCTTTTTTTTTCTGATTTTAAAAATACAACTAAATTAAAATGAATTTAAAACACCCATTAATCAACACCTAAACAATTATCACACACATATTAAAAAAAATTAAAAATGGTTAAATCACAGCCTAGAACAAAAGCTGTATTTTTTGTGAATTTTCTTTTAAAGACCGAATTACGGCCCGATTACACACGACATACTTATTTTGTATTTTTGTTTGATAAGATTCAATGAAAAAATGGATAGAAACACAAAGGACTACCAGCACATGTCACGGAAAATCGAAAAATTGTACAGCGAGGTCATTTGTCACTATTTTTGTTTTCTTTTGGAGTGATTGTCCGTGAAGCAAAAATCACGTGCTTACAGCGGTCACTGGGGGTGTGCAGACTCCGGAGGGGCTCTTACACCCCAAGCGTTATATCGCTGCGGCGTGCAGCTCGATCCATATACATACATACATACATACATATATATATGCAGCTCGATCCATAAATATATAATCCTCACAACCTGGCCTTCGGCCTCTCTCAGTCATCAACCTCACAATTAGGCCATCGGCCTCTCTCAGCCATCAACCTCACAAGCCACTCGGACTATCAGTAAAACAGGGCGTTCAGCCTAAAATATCATTTATAGCATTAAAACTGGATAAATAAGGTTGAGTTATGAAATCAGTAAAACACAGCATGACTGAGTACAAATATTAAGTCAAAATAGTGAGGAATAGTAGTAAAAATCCCCTAAGGGTCCAAACAGTTGGCACGAAGTCCAAATATGGCATTCAGCTCAAAACATAATAATATTTTCCAAAACACAATAGTAACAAATAGTTTTCAATCAAATACGTGACTTAATAATCGTACGGGACGGACCAAGTCACAATCCCCAACGGCGCACACCCCCACACTTGTCATATAGAGTGTTCGTCACTTCAAAATAGTGAAACGATGTGAAATCCGGGGTTTCATACCCTCAAGATAAGATTTACAATCATTACTTACTTCAATCCGGTCCAAACTCTAGCCTGCGATACCTTTGCCCCTCGAATCGGCCTCCAATTACTCCAAATCTAACCAAAATCAGATTCATACCATCAAAATATGCTAAAGGAACAAAGCCCACTCGAAAATAACCAAGTTACATCAAAAATTCCGAAATTGGTCAAACTCGACCCCCAGGCCCACGTCTCGTAATTCGATAAAAACCACAAAACTAGAATCCTTATTCCCTCACGAGTCTACTCATAATAAATTCATCAAAATTAGACCTCAATTTCCCATTCAAATCCCCAAAAGAATTCTCAAACTTTTCTTCCATTTCCCTCCAATTTTCACTCTAAATTCTCAAATTAAATGATGAAATTCAAGACTAAATCATGGAATTAAACCAAATATGAGTGAAGAATACTTACCTCAATTACTCCACTGAAAATCTCCTCAAATTTCACCTTCTCCCGAGCTCTCTAATGGTTTTTGTGATATTGGACTTAAACCCTCGATTTTTAAATATATCTGACTGCCCAGTTATTCCTTCTACGCGGACGTGACGGTCCTCTCACGTTCGCGTAGGCTAATCTCGTCTGCCTCCAAAAATGTCCTTCGCGAACGCGTCCACAGATCGCGAACGCGAAACTTTACCAACTCACTCCTTCGCGAACGCGTTCCCTGACACGCGAACACATAGACCAAAGGGACCTGGGGTCCCTAGCTGCTACTACCCTTCGCGAACACATAGAACACTTTACTCAACCTCCACGTTCGCGTCCTCCTCCTCGCTAACGCTTAGAACAAATTCCTCAGCTTTCCCATTTACCATTCACGAACGCGATGAACAAGAATTTTTCTGCAACAACACCAAAAAATCTGCCAAGTCTAAAGTCCAAAAATTGATCCGTTAACCACCCAAAACACACCCGAGGCCTTCGGAACCTCAACCAAATATGCCATAAACCTCCATATCATCATTCAAACTTATTCCAACCTTCGGGCCCTCAAAACAACATCAAAACATCAAATCAACCACGGATTCAAGCCTAAGAACTCCAAAAACTTCCGAATTCCAATTTCGATCAAAAAGTCTATCAAACCTCTCCTGAATAACCTGAAATTTTGCACACACGTCACAAAAGACACAACGGGCCTACTCCAATTTTCGAAATTCCATTCCGACTCCGATATCAAAATTTCCATTGTCTACCGGAAAATGCTAAATTTTCAATTTCGCCAATTCAAGCCTAAATTTACCACGGGCCTCCAAAATACATTCCGGACGCGCTCCCAAGTCCTAAATCACCTAACGGAGCTAACCAAATCATAAAAATCTAAATCCGAGATTGAATACTAAAAAGTCAAAACGTGGTCAAACCTTTTAAATTTAAAGCTTCTAACTGAGAATTGTTCTTCCAAATCCATTTCGATCATCCTGAAAACCAAAACCGACAATTTACATAAGTCATAATACATCACACGAGGATAATCATGCCCGAAAACATAAAAATTATTTATACAATTAGATCATTTATTAGTTAATTACAGATAAATCGTTATGGTAAGAATTAATAAGTGATATGATAAAAATAGTAGTTAACACGATATAATAGGTTATACTGCATTAACTGATTATAGTTAAGTTTATTTTTGTGAAAACATTGGCGAAATAAAAATCTTACTTACAATGAAAGAAATTAGTCAAAAAAGTTATTACGATTAGAAACAGTTAGGGAGACTGGAGTATGGGTTTCATGGCAGGTTTTCCTCACGCTACTAACAATCTTGTTGAGCTATCAACTATTATGCAGGGTCTCAGAATTGCTAAAGCTTATAACCTCACTCCACTTGAGATCGCCAAAAACTCCACTGAGGTAATCAGAATGATAGCCAATGGCAATATAGTTTACGAGTCTATTATCTATAAATGCGGACAGCTGATGCAAGAACTTGGGAATCTGGTAATCAAGCACAATTTCAGTGAACAAAATAGAGTTGCTAATGCATTGGCCAAGGACGGTGCAAAAAAGAAGGTTTTTGAAAATCCTACCCTTTTGGCCGTTCCTCCAATATTTGTATTAAATTATGTTTGGGCAGACATTTTAGGAACATCTTTTAAAAACGAACAACAGTATGTAATAATAATAGTGAGATAATTTCCTCTAACTTTTTGGGGGCAGAATGCTCGACCACTGTAAATATTGCTAATTAACAGTTTTTATATAATATCATGACCCCCCTCCCCCCAAAAAAAATTAGGCAAAATACCTTAAACCACCCCTAAACTTGGCTCAGATTATTAGTATCCTCCCCGAACTATGCCCGGTCTTAATTACCCCCCTCAACTTGACCTTTTGAGGGTCATTACCCCACAAGACGTTGATGTGACAAAAAGTGTAGGTGTATTCACCTGCCACGTGGATTTTTCTGTCTATGTGGCATTTTTTTGAAAAATAAAATATTTTTTTATCTTTTTAAGAATATTACTTTTTTAGATATTTTTTTTCGAATAAAATTTAAAATAAAACTTGGATACAACTACATTATTTAGGCTGAATATTTTTATTTGACCAAAAATAATAAAGTTTTAGTTAATCTTTTTTTGAATTTGACCTGAAAATAAAGATTTATACAATTGAAATAAATAGTCAAGGCATCTAAAAAGTTATAAAAAAATACATAGTTGAAATAAATAGTCATTGCATCAAAAGAAGAAATAAAAAGAGTGTACGATTGCACTTGTAATTTCTTGCAATTATACACTTTTTTTATTTCTTCTTTTGATGCAATAACTATTTATTTCAACTGTGTATTTTTACTTTTTTAGGTAAAATCTGTTAAAAAAATTAGAGTACCGTAATTTAGAGTTATATAAAAAAATATAGCCAAAATAATTAATTTCAAACTATGTATTTTTTATAACTTTTTAGATGTCTTGACTATTTAATTCAATTCTATAAATATTTATTTTCAGGTCAAATTCAAAAAAAGATTAACTGAAACTTTATTATTTTTGGCCAAATAAAAATATTTAGCCTAAATAATGTAGTTCTATCCAAGTTTTATTATAAATTGTATTCAAAAAAATTATCTAAAAATAGTTTGGAGAGGATACTAATAATCTGAACCAAGTTTAGGGATAGTTCGAGGTATTTCGCCAAAAAATTAATATAAATGATACATGTTGACCCTAAGTAGAATAGGTAGTACCGAAACTCCACTCGTTTGCTGAAGAATAAGAAAATGGAACAAGAACTCCAATTATCTGTTGAAACTGCAATGGAGGTACATTCCCATGATTCCTAGCAAATTCTCTCTTCTACATTTTTTGTTTCGATTCCCTTCTATAATTTAACGGTTGTATGATCCTTTGATTTTTTCAGAGCATACCATCTTCTGTACATGTTTCAAACCACGATGATATCTCCACACCCGAGATTGAAAGCACTGGAATCGAAGAAATCGACAATGGTGAATACTGGCCACTTTCTGGCAAACCCTATGTTGATATAATTCTCACAAAAACTACTGTCAAGCCCCACTATGGCATGGTAACTTCCCCCCCACNGAAACAGTTTCTCTACCTTCCCAAGTCTTCCTTAGGCCGAGGTATATAAGAAACAGTTTCACTACCTTCCCAAGATAGGGGTAAGCGTGCTCAGATCCTAATTGTGAGATTATATCGGTTTGTTATTGTTGTTGTTCTAAAATTATATTATTAACCTTACCTGTATTTGAGTTCTGAACCCGCAGCTTTTATATTGGATCAGCCACTGAATTTGTTTGTATATTGACAGTATTTACCGAGAAAAATGAACAAAGAGCTACCTGCTGCTGGAGCGCCAGCAGTTCTTACTTGTGGTCGAAAGAAGTGGGATATGTTCTACTATTCTAATAATAACAAATTTAGTGCTGAGTGGAAAAAATTTGTGGATGATAATGATCTCAAGGTAGGGGATGCACTTGTGTTTGAACTTTCAGAGTGCAGCACTAACAAAATCCATTTTAAAGTTCAGATTCTCAGAGGTGATTTCCCTTCTGAATTGCTGCCTGAAGATGAAGAGGGTGCAACTGATGCCAACCCAATAGAATTATAGGAAGTTGTAGGCTGTTTACAAATATTTGAAACCATGTTTAGACGATTATATTTTCTGTGAGCATAGTGTTACTGTTCTGTTTGGCTTAAAAGAATGACTTACTATTTGTTAATGTGGATGTGTTTTCTCTATATTGTGGTTGTTTAGTTATCTTCTACTTGTGTCCGTATTAGCTCTGATATATCATTTTCAAAGAATGGCATTTAGTACCACATATTTTGACAAGTACATGCCATTTAACATGTCAATAGCAGACAATAATCATATTGTTTGAATTTGTAATCTTGAAGCTTCACTTCTTCCATTGTTCAACCCAGCTTCTAATGCTTACTCTTCATCTTTTGTCTGTTGAAAAAGCTGATAGTGTGCTAGACTGAAGAAATCCAAATTGCTCTAGATATTTTTTCCTCCAGATCCAATCAGCCTTGGAATGGTTTGTCAGTATGTTTCTACAATCATTCTTAAGAGGCTAGAAAAAACTCTTGGCACCCTTATATAACAATGTGCTATTGCAATTCCTGCGAGCAAGTACTACAAATATAGACAAGAGAGACTGGTTTTTGGGGCATTTGAAAAAGCTGCAACAGTTAACTTGTTCCTGGGGTGCTAATTGTCTTCTGTCTTCTTCATCGGTATTGTGTTAGTAAGTGCATTCTCATTACTTTTACATAGTGATTGATTTTCTTCTTCCTGTGCTCAACTTGTGCTGTGCCCCTGCGCAAGGGCAGGAAGTGGAGGAGGGGGGGTTTATAAAATTTCTTGGACTCAGGTATCTTTTATAATCTATTTGAAGAGGCTGACAGTATTTTAGTACTCTCATTAGAGGATTAATCTTTTCTGGAGAAGCCAGCATACCTTGTCAGTAGAACTTGTAACTTCCAACAATCATATTCTGCTGTGTCTCATTATTTCTCTCTCTGTTTCTTCCTTTACAATTCTCAACTATCTCTCTATTCTCAACTCATGCAAATGGTAGAGTATGCTAACCTGCTGGTGTTACATCCTTTTGTCTCATGGTCCTCATGATATAGATGCTTCGACCCTACCATTAGTCTCAAGTGTTATACCTCTTTCCAACCTTTATTAGAATGTTATGCATGACTGTTGTTATTCGTGCTATGGGGGTTTTTCGAATGGCATCTATCTTCATATAGCTGTCACAAGTCAGTTCAGAAGTATAATTGCACTCACTTATATTAATCTCATCCAATTTCGGTTCCTTTCCTGATTGTCATAGGCAGCTTTAGTTCTTAGGAAAAGCAGTAAACTAGATGCTACTCCCAACAAAGAAATGCATCCCCACCACATAAATGTCTGAATGTAACAGTTTCTACCCATGCAAACCTTTGATCCATCCAATACAAGAACTTGGCTTGATTTTCCTAGGTTTGCTTCATAGACTAGAGCTGCAAGAAGTCCATAGAGTAGTGATCCTAGAGGAATGTTGGTGATGAGAATGTTGTGATTGACCCCTGCACTGTTGGGGCCAAATAGCTCAGAGGTTATTGACACTGCTGCTGAAAATACAAAACCAGAACTCAACCCAACCAACGCCGTGGCAGCGGTCAATGCGGCTTTGCTTCCCGATAAAACAAGCAGAAAAAAAGCCACTGGTGTTGGAATCAGCGCAAATGCAAGCCATGCAGTCCTTGCATAGTACATCTTGCTGCATCCAAAAAAAAACCATTTTCAGTTCTCTGTCAATTTTTTTAACATTATGGTGATTGTTCATTTAAAGAATAGTGAATCTTGAAATACTTACTCGCGTAAGAAATCTGGGGCTGCTGAAAGTAGGCGCCCGAAGAAGGAACATGCAGAATAGAGTGCAACAAGAAAGCTGATCTCTGAACTATATCCAAGTGACTCTGAAATTTGGCCTAGATTGTTGCTGTAAACGAGTACGAGTGTTCCTCCGCAGAAATATGCTAGGTAATATAGCCAGAAATCCCACCTACACATGAGCTGATTTGCTGAATGTTCTTCTCCAAGCAGCAGCAAACGATCTCTCAACAAAAAGCTGCTAGTCCAACTTTCCTTCTCTTTCGAACCATGAGAATTTTCGGTCCAAAGAGTCATACTTGAATCCTCTTTCCACATCATTTCTTTGTGCATTCCAAAATCATCAATATCATTGTCTTCAAGTAACATATAATTAGGATGGATTAGTTGAGACCACTCTTCTGTGCGGATAGCCCCAGGCGCAATCACTGGAAGGACCAGCAAGAACACTGCACCGACCAAGAGGATACGAGCCGTTGGTGCACTATATGAGACCGAGTTCAGGATTAAGAGATAAAGGCCGGTAAAAACTGCTAGTATAGTTAGACATAGGAAAATGAGATATTCTCGGTGAACAGAATCAGCACGAAGAGTTTGAGAGTGAGGTTGCCGGAGGATTGGCAGAGCTGCAACTGATGTGACAAGGGGGACTAGGGCATTAAGAAGAAGGTATAGAGTGTCATCATTGGAATTAATGGCATTAGCAATGAGGTTGAACAAGGCTGCACTTGCACCATTGAAACTTACGCTGAGGGATAATGCAAATGGTCTATTTGCTGGGAAATGTTTGATGCACAACACATAACATACTGTATTAAACCAGCAGATACTGCAGCCAGCCAGCACACACAACAGAAATACCTGTAAGGTAAATCAGTGAAAGGTTGGGAATAGGATGGCATTATAATGAATTTTCAATGCATAAGAGCTGAAGAAATAATCATGTAACATATTGGAAGCGGTTTGCAGTTTCAGTGGAATACACAAGCTACCTTCCCAAGGCCTCATGGAGTTTTCCACAAGAATCTTGGATAGCTTCTTCAGATTTGCAGAGAACTTTTCAAGCAACAAAATTTGATTGATTAGAATGAAAGGTGGCTGAGAATAAAATGTTCTCAAACTCTCTCCTTGGATGCAGTCACTATTGGTTGTTAACAGCAATAGAGCTTACCTAATGAGAAACCTAAAAAATGATAAACTAAGTTTTAAATTGAGTGGTATTTAAACCTTGAACTGTGGAGAATTACAGAACCTTACTCTTCTTTCCATATTAGACTATGGTTTCTGGTTGAACAATTATGTTAGTCCTCACCAGCCATATAATTATGTTTCTATTTCTTGTCTAGTACTTAGTACTCAATAAGCATGTCTAAATTAATACTAATGGTTAGCTAATTTGGTGTGGTAGCTCTAACTACTAACAACCATTAGTCCACCAAAGAATCTAGAGAGAAGAAAATTTAACTCTTAGGAAGAAAAAAAAACAAGGCAAAAAACAACTGTTTATTAAGGCAACAACAAAAATTGGATTAAGTTCCCAAATTTGTTCAAGTCAGGATACATGTTCCTAGCATCAATTCCAAAATTCAAGAAGATTTTTGGGAGAAGAGAAGGAGAAAACTAACCAAGAAATAAGGCAAAATGATGATTCTCTGAATAACAAGCCATTGAAGGCCATAACCAATAAGTCCCATAAAAGCAGCTATGAAAAGAACAACCCACAATGGGAAATACATAAGAGAAACTCCAGAACACCACCCAAATGCTTTCCCCATATCTGATGCCATTGACAGATAATTCAGCTGCACCTGTGAAATTCCTAGAACAGATTTCAATTCAGAAGAATAGGAGGAGAAGTCGAAATTTGTGCCTGTAAATGCTTGAATCCATGTGCTTGCTATCAATATCATCCATTTACTTGAATATTGCTCCATAATTCTTTTTTCTTTACTGGGGAATATTGCAGAGGCGTTCTTGTTCTTGGAAAAACTTGAAAGCAAAGAAATGGTGATATTTTAGTTCATGTTTTGGGGGTGGTTGGGAAGACGAGGGAGGTTGGAAGTTTTTCAGGTCATGAAGTCAGAGTTTTCCTTTTTCTTTTGTAATGATAAAGATTTGTTAAAACCAACACTAACATATAAAGTTAAAAATACTTCTAAGTTACTCCCACAATTTATCTGTCATTAATATTAATACTTTTTACTTAATTAGTCTAATAATAACACGTACATAAATATTCAAAATAGATTGCAAAATATGGTACAATGAAATATACTGGATTTGATAGGGTAATTACTGTTCTTAAGAAATTTAAGTATTTCAATTATATTGTTGCAGGAATGGTAACAAATTTTTTCCAGTATTTTACAAAGCCAATAAAAGTCGAATTTCAACAATTAACTAAATTTGCTCCCAGATTTTTTTATGAGTTGTAAAAAATAGTAGTAAGAAGAAGAAGGAATTCAAAATGATTAGTGTGTTTGATTTGGAACAGCACCAAATATTTATAATGCCTTTAGGTGTCAGTTAAAAAATGAATGAGTTTTATAACTAATTAAGACAACCTTTGGGAAGAGGCACTTTGCAACAACCACTTCTTTAGAAATTAAAAGTCACCCTTTTGGATTTAAAATCTGTTAAAAATGTTTTGTATAAATAAAATAAATTTTTTTAATTAAATAAACTAATGTGATGGGAACTAAAATATATAATTAATTTCAGGCTATTTAAATTTTCAATCAATTCCCATAGAATATTCATACTGCATGTGTTCATCTATTTGCCGTTAGATTCTTGCTCATCAAACCCGAGAATGACTTGAAAAATATTAGTAGTAAAATATTTATATTTGGGAGTGATATAGCACTAGAGACACTCATTAAAACAAAGAAGGAGTAGAGACACTCCTTAACTTGCATCATAAACTTGAAATCTTTAGAAGGAAAGAATTAGGATTATATCTTGTACAAGGAAAGTTGGCGTTGAGGTGTTGATATCCAAGAAGAATTAGAAATTCTATCCTCTATAGTATTAGCAAGCATGCTGGAAGTGATGACGTAGAGTCCTAAAAGAATTATACTCAATACTACAATTTTATCCAATATCATATTGCTTCTTTAAAGAAATAATTTAGGGCATAAAAGTCAATCAATATGTCAAGAATATTTTGTAACATTTAGTGTTAGAATATTTGTACTTTTATAATAATATAAATATAGATTATTCTCTATGTTCTTGCGACACACGAATATATTTATTCACGGAGAAAGGTTAAAGAATAGGGACTCAAGTAAATCTTCTTCATTTGAAAATTATATTTACAAATAGAGCAAAACTAAATTTCTTTAATTATGTATAAGTTGTTAAAATCCCTTGACATAAAAGAAAATTCAAGTAAAGAGGTAAAGTGGTTTAGAATATCTTGTGTGAAATATTACGAAGTGCGTATAAAAAATTATAAAATTTCAGTTGAATAGATATTCTGAATTGGTATTCATATGTACAAAATTTAATAACAATTTAAAACAAAGGGTAGCAGCAACGGTCTTGAATATTCGTGAGCAGAATATTCTCAAAGTGTCACAATAATGAATTCTCAATTTATGTTCGATTTTTCTTTTTCTTCCATAATTGTGCTTCATATCCACATTGAAACACTTATTAATTAATTAAGTGATATATTTAGTTGCAAATTCCAAGTTAGTTTGACCCAAAAGCAACTTTGTAGGTTTGTCAAGTGTAGTTTAAATGGGAAAAGAATTCCAGCCTTAGGTGATTTACAATTGTATCCTCAAGTTATATAAATATTTAAGGTTATAAAAGTCGATCAATATTTCGAGGATATTTTAGTCGTCCAACATTTAACATAAATTATTCGTGCTTTTATAATAATATAGATAATTAGTCTTGAGAAATATATAGTGCCTCTTAATTTAAATAAGTTATTATATTTATTTTTAAAAAAGTTAGATTGTTGTAGATGCATGCCGTGACAATATCACAAAGATTCAAAATCAGAGGTGATCACTTGAATACGTTAAGTATCATTAAACACTCCAACAAAATTTCTAATTTTGTCTCTAAGAGAATAATTGACACAATCCGAAAAGGTGAGACCGAACTCTTTTGTTCATTTGAGCAAATAACTAATATAATTTTTTATTTGTAAAAATCGAAAAATAAATTATAAGGTATCGTAAAGGATAAAAATAGAAGTACAAAAAATTAAGTTAAGAATAAAGATTAACTGGTGTAATTTGTGACAAACTCTAAAAAACAATGCCCTGCTTTTACAAGGAAAAGGAAAAAGAAGCATAACCTATAATTAAGCAATTTTTCTCTTCCCCGAAAATTGAAATCGCTCCCCATGCCACACCTAAACCCATTCAAGTGAGAGAAAATCCTACTCTCTCCCTCTACTTACCACCATCCCTTGAATACTGTCAACAAACCTCAACAATGAATTCAACTAATACAGGCAGGGGCAGATCTATCTTATGAGGTAGAGGTGTCACGCCACCCGCTCCGATAAATTTTTTAGTACGTATAGAAGATAGTTGTGAGAAAACGAATATATTGTTAGAATGGCACCCGGACATCACAAAGTACACTCGGGTGCCACTAGTTCGGCGCCTAGTTCAAAGGCCTTGGTGAGCTCACGGATGCGAGCTCGAGTCTTGTTGGAGCAGACCTTCTTTGGTTTTTCATTTTATTCTACTTATTAAGATTTTTTTATTCTTAGTTTATCTCTAGGGCCCCACCTGTTCTTCCCTTTCTTTTTTCTCCTTGGTTCTCTTGTCCTCGTTTTCTTCCTTTTATTATATGCTAATATGCTAATCTCTCTTCTTCGTTTTTTCAACTTTCTTATACGGTCCTCTGTATCTATTATTATGCCTTACTTCATGAGTTTTTTTTTTGTTAGGTAACTTAAATTGATTTTACTTAGCATATAAATTCTATCTTTTTAATGATACAAAATTTGTTTCTATATTGGAGAATAATTTGAAGACTATCTTCTATTGGATTTTAAAAAATTTAAACTGGCTTGATCAATATTTATTTTGAGTTTATTATCATAGATTAAACGTTAAAGGTTTTGCTTTAAAAGTAATTATTTAATAACACGACAATTAAAATGGAAATATTAACCCACGAATAATAAAGGTAAATTAATTTAGTCAAACTAAAAATATATAGTAATTAAGCTACTTTTGGAGGAATTTTTTTAGTTGGAGGCACTCTTTCATGAATTTTTTTTTCATTTGCAAATTTTTTAGAATATATTTAAATTTGCTTTGTGAGTGAAAAACCTAATTCGAATTAACCAAAGACTAGCTTAATCGACCAATCTTTCCTATAAACATAAAATAGTGGCACCCGCAACCTTCGAATTCTGGATCCGCCTCTAAACACAAGAGATTTATCACGGATCATCATTCTACCAAAAGCACCCGCCATAGTGAGTGACCCTTCAGTGTCCAGTAATAACTCTACCCCAACAAATACAAACACCTCCTCTTTTAAAGAGAAACTACTCTCCCATGAAAATTTAACAGATGCCCCAATTAATACAAACACCCATGTGTTTGATTATTCCGAGCCAATGACGGGTGATTCCTCCCAAAACTCCATCTCCTCCAAATTAAACATATCACTCTGACAACAGAACATAGAGGAAGAATGTACACACCCGACAATTCTCCCTTATAATCAAACTCCTGGGCAAACGAGTCATCCACCAATACCTTAAAAAAAATCCAAGACCTTTGGAAACCAAACGAACCCTTTTCATTAATTGATCTTGGATCAGATTTTTATGTAGTCAAGTTTACCAAAGAAGAAAATATGGCCAAGGTTCTACAACATGGCCCTTGGTTTATCAACAGACACTATCTCTTCGTTCGGAGGTAGGAGCCAAATTTTGTAGCAAGCAAAGCTAAGGAAGTCCACTCAGCAGTCTGGGTCTGTCTTCCCCAGTTAACCACATAATTTTACAATGGAATAGTACTTGTAGGATTGGAAACTCAATTGCTCGACTACTACGCATAGATACATGTACAAGCCCAACCCTCAGAGGAAGGTATGCGAGATTATGCGTACATGTGCGACTAGATCAACCAGTCCAAACAGCTATACAAATTGGCTCTCACATTCAACAACTAGTGTATGAACGGAAAAAATTTCCATGCAAAGTCTGTGGTAGACTGGGCCACACGGCAGCAACATGTTCCTACACTTCACTTGACCCCGTTAAACAGAGACAAGAAGGCCCGTGGGCCATCACCTCCAACTCCACAAAAAAGGAAAAAATAGTAGAAGAGCAATGTCAAACAATCTCTTCCCCAGAGATAACAAACAAAAAAATAAATCTCAACGACATGCAGCCAGTACCTCCCACGACAAAGCACAAAAGACACCCCTAGGTATTAACATCAACATATTTGATACAACCTCAGGTAAGTTTTTAAATACTCAAAAGCTTGATTTTAAGTCTAAACACTCTGATAATCTGGACTTGATGGCTAAAAATGGCTCCATTAATAAAACTAACAATAACACTAACACTGTTACGGTGAACACCATAAACCCTAGCAAGCCAATCCACACTACTAACAAATTTTCTTCTCTCCCCACATTTAATAATAGTGATTTAATGCAATTAGATGATTCCATTCATATGGATTTGAACGGACAGAATCCTAATCAAATTACAAATCTAGAACAATCATTCCTTCCAAGAAACCCCTCCATTTCCCCTCCTCTTGCGTCGCCACATGGCAAAAAGGTTGCATGCATCCATCCTGATCCTACTAAAATAGCGTCCCTAGACCTTAATCCCCACACAGGCACGCCACCCCTACTAACACTAATAACCCCTAATACCACTAATACACACCTAGATGACTTGTCATTTAATACCTGTCAAGTGGCCATGCAACCCAAACTACCAATAACAGGTAAGCTATCCTTGGACGAAAAAAATCAAGACATGCAAACACAATCCTTATTAATAGATACTCAATCATTAGTACATGAACCCCAACTACCCTCATCCACTATATTTTCTTCCAAACACTATGAATCCA